GCATATATGTTGTAGGTAAAATTTGTTCTCAGGTTAAACCAGTTTTCCAACTAGGTCAAATCTGTAGTCTGTATTAAACCTAGGTTAAATTCTTACTTTGTGATTTATGTGTTAAGTCTTTGATTAAACTAGATCAAATGTGTACCAAATGTAATTTGGAGAAAATTTTTTAATATAAATGTATTTCTATTTAGGTTTTCTTGCTCACCAGGTTTTTTTACAAGTTTTAATTTCACTTAAATAATTGCACAAGTTATTACTGTAACTAGTAAATTCTGGTTTAAGGGTTAGCTTTGTGTTAGTGCAAGGGTCAGCTTTTTTATTACTGTACTGTCAGCTTGGTGTTAGGGTTCATTTTTTATAGGGCAAGAGTAAAGGATAGATCTTGAAAGTTGAATAAAAAGAAGCATTTTTCATTGTCCTGTGTGCTTTATTTTTGTTCTTGGACATAACTACAATTGCTTACATGCTCCAATACAGATTCAATTTTAAATTACTGATCAATTGCTTTCTTGGATGCTGTTGAGAAAGGTATCTCCTTGGAAAAGTCAAATACAATATTTGTTCTGGTGCATTTGTTTAGTCTGTTTGTGGAAATATATGTGGAAATAACACCAAATTTTGTTACCACTTTTGCATAATCATTTTCCATACTTATAATTTTGCCTAGTATTACATTGGGGTGGAGCAGTGTTGTTTTATCAACTTTATCAATTTTTATTGTTACATAGTCATCAACTTTGAAACTACTTGGTTTGTTTCTGCTAAGTTTCATCTTTTTATTGTATTCACTTTGTTTATCCATGACTGATTGTGTTATTGCTTTCCTTTTCCTTGATTCTGATACTTCTTTGTTGGCTTGTTCACTTGCAAATTCCTCCTGTTCAGCTCTCGGGGCTTTGTACTGTATCGTGCTGTTTTCATGCAATGTTTTGTTGATCAGTGTGTCATTGTCCATTTCCACTTGTTCAGGTGCTGTAGTTTCATTTTTCATAACACTTTCGTCTTGTGGTAGTTGGCCATTTGTTTCAGCATCATGACATTCTTTGTTTGGCTCTTTGCCAAATACTACATAGTAAGGTGTTTTCTGTATTGCTCTATGCAGTGATATATTTTTTTTGTAGGCAGCCTCGTGCACGACTTGACACCACTTATTTGGTTGAATCCCTTTTTCTTTTACAATGTTTGTAATGTTTACTTTGATAGTACTGTTGTTGCGCTCTACTTGACCTTGAGTAGAAGGATTTCTAGGTGCACCATGTACAAATTTTATCTTGTGTCTTTTACAGAGATTCTCCATGTTCTTGTTCCTAAATTCACCTCCATTGTCTGAATGCAGCATTTTGGGGAATCCAAACATGAAAAACAGTTTCTCTAATTCGTAAGCTACTTGTTCACTTTGCTTTCCTGTAAGGGGTATCATCCAAGAATATTTGGTAAAGTGGTCAGACACATGAAGAAGCCATGTGTGTGTTTTCTCTTTACATTGACATGACAAATTTCTAAAATCTATTAAGTCAATTTGCACATGGTTCATGAAGCCATCTGTTTGAATTGGATGAGTAATGGCTTTCTTCTGGTGGTCTGTTACACTTTTCTGCTGAAGGTGTGGGGTGCACATCGATATAAACAGGTTCACCACCTGTGTTATTCCTGAATACCGCTTTTTAACATAGTCCTCTGTCTTGTCTCGTCCTCGGTGAGCTATTGCTGAATGACAATTTGCCAGTACTGTGAATATTTCCTTCGGTAGCACATACCTGTTTTGTTCGTCTAGTATTTTGCCATCGTCAGCAGTCGCTTTCCATTGTTTCTCAATTATTCGACACTTGTCTTTTCGGTCGATAGTGATTGAGTTTCCTTCGTTTTGCGCCTTTGCTTTCAGCCATTGATACGCTTTTTGGTAGAATGAGTCATCGATGTAGATGTCAACTGGGCTAGACTTGTTTTTAGATTTTGATTTCAGCTCCTCGAGTCTTCAATAAAACCCTTCTGAATCTGTACATCGATTCGCCATTTTTGTTGCAAGCACATGTGTAAGTTTGCATGTAGAGCGCATGTGTTTAATATTCAAAGACTGGGTCTGGGCAATTTACGGCCAAGAGGAGTCTGGTAACAAATAAGTAATAAG